TCAATTATTATATTATTTATAATTTAGAATATATTAATTTAATTATTAAATATTAGTAATTTATAATCGAATTACATAATTATTATATTATTTATAAGTTAGAAAATATTTCTTAACTATTACATTATTTATAATTAATTATATATATATACTTAATCAATATATTATTAATAACTTAGATATATATATTTAATTAATACATTATTTATAATTAATTGTTATTATATATTTTCTATACGTTAAGATATATATAAATAGAATCACATTTATAACTACATGTCGAGTAGTCCAGTTGGTGGGAGATGTCTTTTTCAACCCAAAGGTACAGGGTTCAATCTCCATTTTTGAGATTTTAATTTTAAGTTTACATATTGACAGTAGGGTATAATCGTAAATTATTGATAAAGCAAGGGTATAAGGGTAAATTAAACAAAAAAGTAACGCCGTTAGTATTAAAGTAACGGTGTTAACATAAAGGGGCGAGTCTGCACGTAAACATTAAATACAAGGGGGTTTGACGCAATTTTTGAAATACCAGGGTAAAACGCGCAGATTTCATATAATACAGGGGAATTTGGTGCAATAAACCCTTAAGGACCTATATGCAATTCTATAAGTTTCTGAATATTGCATTGTAAGTCCTGGGCATTATTTGCAATTATCAAAAGATGAATGAATAAATAAAGATGTTACATGAAATACATATAATTGAGTGTAGAAATGCACAGTAGAAATACCAACATATTAAATATTATATGAAAAATATATTAAATATTATATAAAATGCACTTAAGGTGTTTTAAAAATGCAAATTAAAAAAAACAATATTTGATGCACAAATAAATCGGTTAATTCATTTTAGATTTCATTTTATCCGAGATAAAATATTTAAAAAACGAACCATAATGTTAGACAGCACAATAGTGACCTACACAATGCACAATATATTTATAGGAGTGGCACATTATTGGCTCAAAGACCACACCACATCGATCAGGCTAAATTTTTTAGATGTTCCATTTTTATATTTTAGTTCAATTATCTATTTTTTAATTTTAAATATTCCGTTATTTATGTAAAAATAATAATAAAAAAAAATCTCAAAAGTTGTCGCTTTTTCAAAATGCTAACTAACATTTTTTCACTCAATTCAATGCTTTCGTTTGTGTGAATGCACGATATGAAATTCGGTTGCACAATATTGACCGAAGAAGTGGACCATATTGTTAGATAAGTTGCACATTAATGTTTTCTACAATGAACTATAGCATCCAAAATTGATCGATCTAAATTTATTAAATAT